TGAAAATAATATTTTACTTTATACATTCACATTTACAGTTTTATGTCAGTGAGTTGAGGCCCCACTGGGTAAATTGTCTGTATTTGTGTCAGACAAATGCTGCATTTAATGACAGGGGCAAGGGTTAAGAATTTAATTGGGTTGATGGACTGTGAGTAGTTCTCACTGTATCAGACTGACTCACATCACACGCGCAGTGTGAAGTAATAAAAGTGCACGGGACTTAACACGGTGCCTGAGCTATCGCGCAGTTAATTAATCCAAAAGCAGATCAGCTCATGGTTGTGTTACTCACATGACAGACAATAATAATTCAAGATTTGTTAAAGAGAGTTTCTCTTGAAGTGAAATTAAACTTTACATTTATAATTTACATTAATGAACCAGAGAAAGTAAAAATTCATTGGAGCAAGGCCAACTTTTTCCTTACCTCAGCACCTGTCTCCAGCACTCTAAGATGCTCACTTGCACTTAAACAAACACACAACCAGCTCCCAGACACATTTACTGTCTCAATATTTACCTGAGGGTGTCTAAAGTACTCAAGCTCACTTGTGGTAAACTACCACCATTGAGACTGGAAGAGGAAAGCAGGTGCTTCAGGGACACACCAGCCTTCTAATAGAACTGCCAGTAGAAGGTCCCTTTAGCCAAATCACTGTTTTATTAAGTGCAAATGTCAACAAAGGGCTTGAAGCCACAACCAACCCAAAAAAACTGAAAATCTCACTGTATCAAGAATCCCCCCAAACCATGGGTGACAGGGTTCAAATGATCAGCTCTCAGGTCAGTCTGCAAAAGAGAATCAGAAGATGAATATACCACGCAAACAGCAAAGTGCCTCAAGACACAAGTGTGGGAGGCTGGGATTTAACAGGTCAATGTTACTTGGCAGCAAGAGTTGCGCCAGTCAAAGATTGTATCGTGTTACAGAAAATAAGTCTTACATCGCTGATGTTTATTAACATCAGTGTCCAGAATCCAGTGTAGGAGTTTGTGAATGTAAACACCAGATCTTGGATACCCAGATAACTAAACTTGATTATACTTTATATAACTGGGATATGGCATACAAGGGCCAGAAGTGTGGTTCATGGTTTTGAATGACTGTTGCACAGACCAGTGAAATTGGAGGTCTGACACCAGTAATTTGGAGGATAAACAGATTATTGCTTGTCACTTTTGTTTTCCATTATTGGTGATCAGATGGAGTAGCCAAATTCAGCAGAAAGTGTTGAATGCAACAGGCAGGCAGAAACCAAAGTGGGTTAATCCTCCCATGCTGCAATAACTAATAGTTTGTGGGATGGGGCAGGGATGGTGAGGAGTCTAACACATGCTTGCACACAGAAATAACTTTTGATGTTTACTTGTTTAAAGTAAACATCAAAACCTGGGTAGGATGTAGGGACATTAGTTTGCATGTAAATGTTCTCACTTGGGAAAGCATGAGGATGAATATGGTAAAGATGAATTGCACTTATAAATTACGTTGCATGCCTGGACTGCTTGATAGAATGTTTTAGTTTGAGGCTCCTGTAAGTAGCAATCCTTACAGAGCATAACTAATGTCCATGGTTTTGATGACTGTACAGGAAAAGGGACAGAACAGCATTGATATATTCGGACTCTTTTGTATTTTACATGAACAGCGTGTGACCTTCTCAGACAGGCAGCCTTCTGCATTATGAACAAAGTAAACACACCTGTATAGTTGTCACAGTTCGAATGCTGAGACAGGCTGTGGAGGGGAAAGAAAACACAGCAGAAAATTGCCCATTCATCACTGAAGTGACACACCTGCAGAGTAAAGAGCCCAGCCTCCTGATACTGCAAAGCACTACTGTAGATAATCTCAATGTTTTTTTGGTGTATCAGTCTGTGAGTTGCTTTCACTGCACCGATTGAACCTCCATAATTCACTGTTAAATATCAATGAGAACTCAGAAGATATAAAACAGATAATCACCATGTGAAGTGAGGGATCACAGAGACAATATTTGTGTTCGTTTTGCTCCGGTGGCCTACTTTAGGGTCTGATGGACACACTTCATTGAGATTAAGGTCCTGCTGGAATTAGTCCAGCAGGGATACTGAATAGAACATCAACAATGTGACATTACATTAAAGGAGGGTTGTTAACCACTTCTAAAATTAAATTAGCACTTGCAACCATGGTTTAGAATACATGTGTTATTGCTTGTGAGAAAGAGAAAGTTGTTAAAAGCTGAGAGGTGTCAAATGAAATGATTCCACTCTCCCTATTATAAGCCTTTGATACCTAGGAGAGCCCCTTGAATATTCTTCTTAAAGGAATGGTTTACTAAAAAATGACAGTATTCTGAATGCCAAAGAGTAAAAAAAAATTGTTCAACTAAGCCTTTCGTTGAGCTAATATAAGCAGGATTTACACAGCATCCCCCACTGTGCCCACTTCTTGCTTTGCATAATGTAAAGTTAATTTTCCAATGCTTCCTAAGAGGATATCTAAGAGGCTGGACAAACAGTAATTTATTAAACACAGCTTTGCATCTTATTAAACATATAGTATTTATGTCTTTGCAGGTAATTATTCTCCAACCAGCAATCACCAGCAAATCTTTCTGTCAATTACCCAATAACTAATGCTGCTGAGATTATAAATCAATTCAACAGTAACAGGCTGGAAGAGAGCAATGACAGTTAACACTTCAAATTATTGTTCCATTCACTTCCCTGCTTGCTTACCAGTTGGACAAATGTAATCTGTGGCGCTAACTCACTGGATATGACCAGGAATTAAACATAAAGTGATGATGCATTGAAATTTTCCCACATCCCTTCTAAAATGTCATTTGAATACTTGGACACTCCTTTATCATTGCATGACACATACACCTTTGTGTCTGTGTGTGTCTTGGCTATATGAGAGGGTTGGGTATTAGCCCCTCAGGCAGTGGACTTTGAAATGTTGAGTACACCCTACTGTGGAGCAAACTGTGACTGCTATCCAATGCCATGCTTGTCTGCCTCTGTTCAGATCACTTCCTCCGCTGGCTCCCGCCATCTGGTAGAAAGTAGCCTTGGCTGCTTTGAAATTTGGAGAGGCTCCAGAAAACCGTCCCTGTCAGCTTTACTGTTCTCTCTGGGTCCTCTCTCTGTCTTGTTGTCTCTATTAGGAAGTCAACCAAGACATCAGCATTAGGCTTCTAATCCTGCAAAATATGTCTCTCCTCACACACGTCTGCGCCCCCCTCGTTATGAAGCTGCTTTGAGACAATGAAAAAGATGAAATATGCAAGATGAAAATGGAGACGAAGAGATGCTGCATTTGTTGCTGGATCTTGATTAGTTCATTTAGACAATAATCAGCTCCCAGTTGGTCAGGCACACCTTTGTAGGAAACTTGCAGTTCCGCTCAGTTCTGCTGAGCGTGTCAGCCTCTTTTGGCTCATTGTTCAAGATTCAAAAAACTATTGTCGATCACTTAATGATATGAAAATTGTTATAGGTTACAAACAACATTAAAACGACTAGAATTCCATGCTTGATGTTTTTTTCTTGATTTTCCTTGTGAAAAAGTTGTACTAGAATGCAATGTGAATAAGCGGTCCAGAGGAGGAGCTTTTAAAGGGGAACTTGGCAACTTTTTCAGCTTAATAAACCCGTTTAGAAATCATTTGGATGGTTAGTTCCGGGGAAAATGGTGACCCCCC